GAGGTGGTGTAATGGTTAGCAAGCTTGGCTTGCTAGAACAATTACGACTGAGTAGTGAGTTCGGTCCTCACTGGGTGCTCCCTAATTTCGGCTTTGTGCCACATCTAAGCTATGCTTGGAAAATCACTATATATATATATATATATATATATATATATATATATATATATATATATATATGAGAGAGATAGAGGTTAAAGACCAATAATAATACTTTAAGATTTGGTTCAAAACAAAGATTAAATAAAAAAAAAAATTCATCTTTTTGTTTTGGAACTTTTTTCTGGTTTCTGGGGAGAGTTTGAACATAAATTGCCTAATGATCATGAGTTTTATGCCATTATCAATTTTTTTTTTTTTTAAATTGATTAGTGTTGTGCCTATAATAATTCCTTTTTTCTTTAATTATTTTTGAGGTATTATGTCTTTATGCACCAGTGGGTGCCAGGTTGGGTTTCATTCAAGTATTAAGTTTTCACACTATTATAAATAAAAAAACCCAAAAGATTAACATTACAAACTGACACATGAAAACACAATACTTGAAAAATTCAACTTGATGCTTATCAACATGTGAACATTTGGAATCTGGAATTAATTGGAAATACTAAATACCCCAGACTTTACCCCACCTGCCTCACGATTTATAATATAAAGCCTTTTATTATTATCCTTTGTGTAGTTGCAGTGTGGGAGATTAACAGACCCTGTTAACATGCTGTTTGGCAACCTTTTGTCCCCTCCCCCTTGAAAGATAAAGTATTCAATTGAAGAATTACAATGAATCATTCATACAAAAAGTAGATTAGTAAAGTTAATGATATAAAATGGCGAAAACACTTCGCAAACAAAATTTTAAAGTTGCATTAACCTACGAATCACTCGATGAATGTTATGATTCGTAGGCTAATGCAACTTTAAAATTTTGTTCGTGAAATGATTCATTGTAATATAAATTGAACTGCACCACATATTTGATTTAATTGAAGAATTGCATAAAATAAGACTTTTAAGAATTTCCAACAGATTTGAAGTTCAGGGAAAGTTGACAACTACTTTGATTAAAGGCCTGACACTGCAGTTTTCTATTTCCACCATCCGTACTTTACTAGTCGTTTCCACCTTTGTAATGAATTCCCCTTTAGCAATTGATCAACTGACTGTAGCATAAGAAAATATATGGCACCTCAACTTGTGACTCAATGTTTGTAAGTGTAACTTGAATAAACATATTGCTTTTTAACAGGCATTTTCCTCTAAGTTTTTGAGAAAATCAGTTTTTCTTTTCTTATCATCAGGTACTCAACTTGACAGATTTTTCAATCAATTCTGTCTTCAGATTTAAAACTACATAATGGGAGTAGAGAAACTGACTTGCAAAAAGAACCCAAGCCAATGACCTGTCAGAGTTATTCTTTACAATTATAAATTAATTACTATTCAAGAAGATCAGACATTTAAACAAAGCCTTAGTCTTTAAGCTTCTAAAATTGATTAAGATAATGTTTTACTTCTTTTAAAGGTCTTTATAAATTGCGTTTAATCTGATAAACAATATTAGAAATGTTTGCTCTTCAATTCTCATTTTCTGTTTAAATGCTTGTATGTAAGTGGTTTATAGAGGTGTGTATATACTGGGTGTAGTAACAGCAAAATTGTCCAATTGTTAGATTAAGCTCTGAACTGTTGTATCTTAAAAATGATTAAAGATATCTTACTGGAATTCTCCAATGTTTTCATAACATTATTGGACTCTCCCTTGAGTAATAAGAATCTGTAATTACTCTTCAAGCTTAACAGAAGAATCATGATGAAATCAATCATAAAGGAAATAGGCTATTATCTTTTAAATAAAACCAAAATTTAACTTCAAAGACAATATTTAAATTTATTCAATTTTTTTTTTTAAGGAAGACATTGGTACTTAGTTTGTAGATATAGACAATGTTGTCATAAGAATCAACATTGTATGGTGATTGTGAATTTCACACTTCAATGTGATCTTCAGATTAAATTTATATGTTTTAGTATGTTGATGACAGTTTTTTTTTTTTTTTTATTTCAAACACAATATTTGTTAATGTGTTATACATAAACAGCAATTCATTTTATATATTTGTTTTCAACTAGTATAAGTAGCATAAAAGAAACTTAAATTATCACTGAAAATTTTATTCTTGTCTTTTTGAACAAGTATTTAAGGGTACTGAAAAAAGTTCTTAACCCAATACACTTTCAAAAACTCTTAATAAATGACCAGATTTTTCTTTTTCTTTTTTTTTAAGAATCACTTTTGGATTTGTCCCACAAAATTTTCAGGATTTTATCATAGTTACATACTATACTTGATGTAATCTAGATGTAAAGTTAAAAAGCTCTCTTTTTAAGTGGTTAATTGAATGAGTTTTAAAAAATTATATCTATCAACAAATTTTTACACAGTATTTGTTTAGAATAAAAGTTTCTATAGGCAACATTTGAACATGGGACTGGCTTACGGCCACATCACATTGAAAAACCAGTTCCTGTATGATGAACAAAGTTAGGTAATGTCAAGCCTGGTCAGTACGTTTTTCATTTTAGCTTAATCTATGCACTTTTTAACCATAAAAAGTTGATCACTATTTCTTTTATGAGCCTGAAAGTGGTCAGGAAAAAACATTGCATTTATGGCATATCAACCTGAACAATTTTCTTGTGTTTCAAGGGCTTATAGACATATCCTGTATGATCACCGAAGTTAAGCAACATCAAGCCTGGTCAATACCTAGATGGGTAATCACTTGGGATTACCAGGTGCTATAAGCTTGGACTTGCAGGTGGTGTAATGAATAATGGCATGGAATGGTTAATCATAGAGCTGAGTTCCAATTCCATTTGGGTTCATTTACACACAAATAATCTTGGGAAAGGCATGAATCCAACTCTTCTTCCTCTAGCTATGAGTTAATTAGTAAGGTTTATATCACTAAACCATTATCTCCAAAAATAAATTTTTGCTTTTTTTTCTCCTAAGCATTTCATCTCAAGCAAGGCAAGAGTGCCACTAACACACAGAGGGGTTACAGAGAGTGAGAGCAAGAGTAAAGAGGCGTGATAGAGGAAAAGATGAAGAGAAAGATAGGGAATTAGATCAAGGCCTCTGAAGATGTCGATTGACATTGCATTTGAAGAATTGAAATTATAGCTATCAGGGAAGCAAGTAAGAGAAAGGGAGTTCCACAAACAAGAAGTGCGAGACATGAAGCTATTGGAGTAAAAGAGATTGCTACATTTAACCGTTTTGACAATGAAAGGGTGGGACTGAGATGCCAACCTACTAGCACACTTAAATTCATGCGCCTGCTTGGTCTCACACTGTCCACTGACTTGAGATGGAACAAATAGATTGAATCGATAGCTTCATCCATCGCAAAGAAAGTTGGTTCTATGTGTCATGCCAGAAAGTTTTTCTTGCCTGAGTCCATCCTTCAAATCTATAAATCAACCATTCGCCCTTGTATGGAATACTGCTGCCATATATGGTCTGGAGCCTAGGTTGTTCGTCTCAAGGTCCTCAACAAAATCCAGAGACTGATATGCAATGTGATTGGTCCCGATCTGGCTTCTCGTCTACAATCACTTTCTTACAGATGTGCCGTCGCTTCCCTCTGTCTTTTCTACAAATACTTTCATGGTAACTGCTTTGATGAGCTACTTTTGCTGGTTCCCAAAATAAAATTATGTACAAAATATTTAGATTTCAGCATTAAATAACCCACAGAGATTGATATGCTGCTAAAAGAAAAACAACAAATGAACAGATATTCTGAAGGGTGACATTTCAACACATCTTTGTATGATTCAGGTATGAATTGTGAAGTTTTAAATGTTTTCATATTAAAAGTGAAAATGGAGGAAAATGAGATGCATTTTTGTCATTTGATGCTTTTTTTATTATTTCTGACAAAAACTCTGTATAGACAACAAAGATTTATGACATGAAGATGATGCCATAACTGAATGTATTGTTTATATTGTTTATATAAGTGCCTTGCTAGATTCAGAAGTGTGAATTTTGATCTGGAAGACCAGCAGTATTTTAGCAGGCCTGTAGTCATTGATGAGATGACCAAATGAAATAACAGACTAAAAAGCCTCCAGATTATATGACACAAGACAGAGAAAGGCTCCACTATCTCATATAGGATGATGAGTGTTGTAAGGCATTTGAAGACAATGATTTAATGGACTGTATTTCCTTGGCAATACTCTATGCAAATGCAACAAAAAGGATTCATTTTTGAAAAGAATAATCACAGATAATGAAAAATGGACTGTTTATAATAAAAAAAAAAATTTAAAAAAATGAAGCAAAAAATGTTCTGGGAGGAAAACAAAATGAGTCACTGTTAACTGAAGAAGGTGACGTGTATCTGGTGAGATTGGAAGGGCGTTGTGTATTACGAGCTCCTTCTCCAAAATCAGACATTATCCCAAATGAACCGATTAAAGGCAGCAATATGTGAAAAGTGTTTAAAATTGACCAATCAAAAGTAAGGCTGTAATCTTCTATCAGGATACATCAGACCTTATATCTCATTGTAAACTCGGGAGTGTACAACGTGGCTGGGATGTCCTACTACACCCCACTGTACTCATCCGACTTTGCACAGTCTCTACAAAATTCTGTTAACGAGAAGAATTTTCCTTCTCTGAAAGCCTGTAAAAATCACCCAGAAAAATGCCAAGTTTTGGGAGGGTAGAATCCTGAAGCTGCCTCAAAGATGTCGATGGAACAAAATGGCATATATGTAGTTGTACAAATATCTAAATTCCTTTAAAAATATTAGACTTTTTTCTGACGCAATAATTATTCTTCATATATTGTGTAACATACCAATTATTTCAATTTCTTAAAATTCAAATTTTAACATTTTATGATACTAGAAGGTTACACAAAATTAATTGTGCAGTTGATATATTTTATTTATTTTTTACTGAACTTTTCATTGTTGCAGGAAAGGAGATATTTTAACGCTGCAAGTGCATGCCTTGGTTCATCCGACTAATGAAATGATCAGCACTAAATATGAGATGACGGCCAGGTTATTGCAAGAAGCTGGGCCAGAAATGCTTTCTGAAATCAACAACAGTGTTAGAGGTTAGTTAATACTTACTCAAAGACTTGTATTTGTGTCACTTTTTTTTTTTCCTTTTAGGATATTGTATTGAGCAGATTATGAAATACACTTCAAATTTTCTTAACAGGCATGGTTGAAACAGCGGAGATAATTCTTGTGTAAATCATGAATTGAGAGAACGTTGAAAGAAAATGAGACCAGATTTACTATAGACATAGATGAACTTTCCCTTTTAGATTACCGTACCCAGGTTACACAGTAAAGTTTATTCAGATTTTTTTCTTATCTGAATCAAAGCTTGAAATTAATGTCAACCTGCAAATAATGGAACATTACTTTGGGACAACTGGTTAGTTTTTTTGGCCGGGTAGGATGAGACTGTGAAATTAGAAAATTTTTTAATTAAAATTCTATTATCTTTATTTAGGTACCTCCAACTGTTTTCTAAAAAAAAAAAGAGCATAGCATGATAAAGGCCCGAAACTTAATAAAACCAAAGTTTTATCGTCAAAATGTTATTAAAAAGGAGAGACCAAAGTATATTTTTATTTATTTTATTAAATTTTTGAATCCTTTCTAACACATTCAAAATTTTGGTTAAAAATCTATTTTTTCTTGCATCAGTGGTGGGCCAAAGATTAGTATGGGAAATTTAGCATCTTTTTTGCAGTAAAAAACATAATATTTTGGAAATGCTTGCAAAAGTCAATTGTCGGATTTTAATGAGATTTTAAGAAATCAAAATTTCAGAATATTTTATATTATTTTATATTTATATTAGTTAAAAGTAGGACTCCTTGCGGAATTTAAATCACCATTTTGTTTTTGTCAAACAGAAACACTATTTACTGAAAAATCTGCTCTGAATAAAATAAAAATAACTGACATTATTTAATTAGAAAAGTTTTTAATTGCTTTTATAAATAATAACTATTGTCTTAAGAAAATAAAATTTTTCAATGCATAATGAATTTTTACAAGAATTGTTTTAATTTTTTTATATTTTAATTAGAAAAATTTACTAAGTTTTATATCTTAAAATTCTGTATTAATTTCTGCAGTTTTCATGATGTTATCAAGTGAAAACTATATTTACTAATCATAAATGAAAAATCTTAATACAAGCCATCTAACACCAATATTTTAAAAATAATTTTGAGTTTTTTTTTTTTTTTATTAGTGTTTAAACATGCCTTTTTTGTAATTATGGGTGACTACACATGACATTATCGGAAATTAAGAGCAATGCCTATAGTAAATTTAAAGCCAAAATTTCTAAAATTCAATAAAACATTAGATTACGGGAAATGTTTTCCTAAATATTTCAGATTATTGAGTACTTAAAAAAGACACTCACATCATTTTCTTGTATTATGTTTTACAGAAAAAGTCTCCATTGAACAACATTAGACCTGTCATCACCTTGTCAAATACATCAACATAGATACTGTCGGTTAAAAACAGTTACTGTCTGCTTAAAAAATGCATTTCTGCGATATTTTAAACTTAAAGTAAATAATATTTGTTTCAAATCAGATTAATTATACTTTAAATCGGCTATTTCTCCTGAAATAAAGTTTCAGAAAAATACATTTCATTTTTCGAAGAATTTTTTAATAAAGAGAATTTCATTGCAATGAAAGACAACTAAAAAATTTAAATTAATTTTAAATTAGTTTTTGAAATGCAGCAAAGTATTTTGGTTATAGGAAATATTAAATTTAATCTATTAGCTTTAAATTAAAACTAAAATAAAAGATTTTTCATTTTTAAAAATTCTTCTTTTTTTTTTTTTTTTTTTTTTTTGGAGGTACCTATAGTAATTCAAAAAGCAACTAATTTCTTAACATAAAAAATATTTTTCTTTTTACTCACTATTTTTCTTGGTGGGCTTTTAATAAATGGGGAAAACCCACATATACAATAATATATATATATATATATATATATATATATATATATATATATATTATATATTTCATTCTCATATTGTCTTTTGTTCAGGTTCTAAAACTGGAGAAGCTCGTCTTACAAAAGGACACCAGTTGTTAGCTCGGCATGTCATCCACACAGTGGGACCACGATTTAATGTCAAATATAGTACAGCTGCTGAGGGTGCTCTTTTCAGTTGTTATCGAAGTGTATTACAATTAGCCAAGTGAGTCCTATTTTGGTTTCCTTGTTCAACTATCTACACTGTAGAATTTAAAAACAATTTTAATGACCATTATTTAATAACGCCTTAAAAAAAAAAAAAGTATGATTATTTACTACAAGTAATGTTGTTTAATTACTTTTTAAATTTGTTTCTACAAATTTGAAAAACTTGCAACTTTGAAAATAAGTGAGCTGTTAATCCATGAATCTTGTAAAATTCTTATCTTTTTGGCATTTTATTTTGAAGTGAAAACAACATTCGAACGTTAGCAATGTGTCCAATTCATTCATCACAAAGAGGCTATCCACTTGAACAAGGAGCACACATTGCCATTCGTAAGTAGTTTATTATTCAGTTCATATTTCTCAAAGAAATACTTCACAATTTGTTAATGTACAAGTATCAGGATCTGTGTTCTTCGGTTGGTCATAAACTTTATATTAGTACTGCTTAGTGAAGTAAAGTTTTAGCATAAAGGCACTATTCAGAGTAGACCAATTGGAAAAAAATAATAGGAAAATTTTTTTTTTGCTTACTATTTGTTAGATTTTCATTAAGGTGTGACATTTACCAGAATTGAAAAATATTGATTATTTATTTATTTTTAGATGGGGGTGAGGGTCCTGTTCATAATATCAATACAGTGTAAAATAGATCCCTGATATTTTTTTTTTTTTAAAGAGTTAAATACAGACAACTCACAACTCTTTAAAAAGTCAGGGATCAATTTTACGCTATTAATATTATGAACAGAAGACCCATTTTAAAAAGGATTAAAAAAAAAAAAAAAAAAATCAATATTTTTCATTTCTAATAAATGTCATGCCTTGAGGAATGTCCAATAAATGCTTATCTACAAAAATCATTCCCTGGAAAATTTTGACCAGTCTATTTAAGTTGTCAATAGTTTCTGCCTTATCAAGATTAAAACATTATATTTAGAAAATATTAATGATTTAAAGTTTTTTCTTTTTTTTCTTTTTTTAAACTATATCCAAAGAATATAATAATAATATAATAATTGCATAATTTGATGCAATAATAAATTCTTTAAAATGTAATAAAAAGTTTGTTTTTTTTTTTTTTTTTTTTTAGAAATTTTAAAGAATTAAGATTTCTTTATGCCTGACAAAGAATAAGTTCTGACCAAAAAAAGCAACTCCTTAAAAACTAACAATCCTTCTTCATTAGTGTTTGAAGTGTGAGTTTATCACAGTTTTTTAATTATTTTAATTTATGTGATTATTTTTTTTTTTTTCCCCATCAGGAACTGTACGGCGTTTTCTAGAAAAGTTTGGATCTAATTTTGAAACTATTATCTTTGCATGTAAAGAAAATGATGTGATGGTAAGTGCTTCAAAAATCTTTTGTTCCCACTCATTGGTTGATATCTACTAAGGAGAATATTAGCGTGTGTCTATAATGTTCTTTTCTTCCATGTTGGATCTGATACCCCTGTGTATATGGAAGAGAAGTAATTTTTGTTTTTTTAGATTTCAGCAATACTCTTAATAAAATTTTCTTTTGTATTAGGAAAGACAGTTTTTGCAATAAGTTTCACTTTCTGCTCTATTGAAATTTAAGAAATCAGTTTGTTTTTTTTTCCTTCCATTTCTTAACATTAGTGAAATCATGAGATTGACTTACATTACCAGTTTCAGTGATGCTTTTATATTTAAGGTTTCTATATGTGTATATGTATATTGATTTCTTGTTTTTTTTTCAATCCGCAGCCAAAAGCCAACGTCTACAGAGCATAATTTTAAAGTACAAAATTCAAAAAAGAAAAATAAATTGAACTTTTCCTGACTTAAAAAAAAAAAAAAAAGCTCCGAAATGTATCTTTTTTTTTTTCTCTCCCTGTTCATTCTTATCCTGACATTGATATATTGATATTGAGCTAATTTTTACTTAATGTTCGAATTTGACAGCCATAATAGCCTGTTCGAGCCAAGTTTTAAAATCTGATCACTTAATCTGGAGTAGAAGTAAAAATATATACAAAATATACTGACCATTCAAGAGAAATGTTTTTTATTTTCAAAGATATATATATATATATATATATATATATATAGATATAGATATTAATAATTACACATATACCTATGTTTTACAGTATGACTCAGTTTCATGGTTTTGCCAATCATCAGGTACAGAAAGTTATGAACTGTTCAATATGTTTTTTTTTTTTTTTTTTTTGTTAAATTTTCTGGGTTTTATGGGAGCAATATTACATTGTGCGTAGATTCAAAGTTCAAGATTATTATAAATATATAGGTAGGTGGATTGAAAAATAAACAAAGTTATTAATAGTAAGTTTAATAGTGATATTGATCCATTAATCAATGTATAAGATTATTGCAATACGAACCAAAAAAGTTGGTAGTTACCAAATAAAAAGTGTTGGTAGGTAAAAAAAGAATATAGGGAAAAGAAAAATAATAATAAAAGATAATAAAACAAAATAAAAAAGAAACGCTAGGTTAAAAACCGTTAAACGCTAGGATGGTGTAAGGGAGGTAACTGGATAAGGAGAAATAAATGTTAGCGGCAGGTTATTTGGAGTATTACAGAGATAAGATAATTGCTCTATGAAATATTTAAGAGATTTCTTTCTATGGCTGTATGTAATCATAAGCTTATTTCACTTGTTCAGCAGATTATGATTATCAGTATTTTTGAGAATAATTCATTTTTCTAATAGGCACAGAGTACATTTATCACTGTTAAGGATTTGTTGATTAGATCCCAATTTATTACAGGTGTGTAGTTATGTCTTGATTTCCCCTAAAAAATTTAGAGAGTCCCATGGTATTTGAATATTGCTTATTGGTAAGAGTCATTTTATGATAGTAATACCATGTTTTCCAGTGGTTAGCAGTGGAACCAAAATAAAATTTAGACTTGCCATTATGCTCAATGCTAGCTTTGTAAATAATGCCTTTATTCATGCATTTAGAATTAAGTGGCCAGGCACTATATTTTCGGCAATTAAAATTTTTGTCAGTACTATCATTACTATTGAAGTTGTTTTAATATTTGTTTAATATTAAATTATTATATTGTGCTATATACTGTTCAAGGTTTTTTTTTAGTACAGCTGTAGCTAATTTTAATGTTGTTGAAAATCTTGTTGAGCAATGGAATATCGCTGAAATGTTTGTGGATTACATTAAAGTAAAATTTTCCTTAATAACATAATAATAATCATAATCTGCTGAACAAGCGAAATGAGCTTATGATTACATGTAGCCATAGAAGGAAATCTCTTTTCAAATATTTTGATGTTGGCTAGAGCAATTATCCTATCTTTGTAAAATCCCAAATGACCTGCCTCTAATATTTATTTATTTTTCCATATCCAGTTGCCTCCCTTACGCCATCCCAGAATTCAATGGTTTTTAACCTAGCATTTCTTTTTTTTATTTCGTTTTATTAGTTTTTCTTTTCTTTACGCTACATTCTTTTTTGCCTATACACATTTTTTATTTGGTAACTACCAAGTTTTTTGGTTTGTATTGCAATAATATTATCCATTGATTCAATACACATTAACGGATCAATATCCCTATTAAACTTACTATTAATAACTTAATTTATTTTTTGATATCCACCTGCAAACACTGTATATTTTGAATTTATACCCTAATACTTTATAATAATCTTGAACTTTGAATCCATACACAATGTAGTATTGCTCCCATGAGACTCAGAAATTAAAAAAAAAAACAACCATATTGAACAGTTCATAACTTTTTGTACCTGATAATTGGCATAAGCCTATGAAACTGAGTCATACTGTAAACATAGGTATATGTGTAATTATTAATATATGCTTTATAGCTCTGTTTTACTATATTGAGCACTGTTTTGTCTACATCCTTAATTAAATAAATAGTTATTTGTTCACCTGTATGTGTACATAAAGAGAGAGAGAGAGAGAGAGATAAATTCCTAATTTATTTAATATATGAAAAAAAACACCATGTTTTTTGTTATCTTTTGTTCGTCCTCTTAGTTCAGTTGTTAATGTCCTTAATATTCCTTGTGAAAATGGGAGCAAAATGTCCTTCTGTTTGATCTGCTATTTTGAAAGATTCTAAAGCCTTGTTCGCAGCACAAAAGGAAATTATTTGATTAGTTCTTGGAGGCGCTTGTTAAAAAGAAGAAAAAAAAACAAACAATTTATCATTTCCAATTTTCTTTATTCTCTCTACAGGAAACCTATCAACATTTGATGCCATTGTATTTCCCTCGTAACTGGAAGGAAGAAATGGAAGCCAAGGAGTATCTTCCTGAAGACATTGGTAATGAAAATGGAGAGCCAGTAATTGCAGAACGTAAAATTCGAATCATTGACAAACCAACTTTTGCAGCCTTCAGTAAGAGTTTTTGTCAATTTCATGTTTTAATTTTATTTTTCTCACTTCAGTTTTGTATTTTCCTAAATTTGAATTTTACTCATGTGGAAGGTACATCTACATTTTTTTTTTTTTTTTTTTTTTTTAGCCAATGTATATTTTTTCTTTATTATATAATAATTACACCAATCCTTGCTTCTCTTTCTTTCATCTTTCCTTTTCTCTGTGCAAGAAAACATTTTAGAAAAATGCATTTTTCTTTATCTCCTCATATCCACCTCTCACCCTATTGCTGTTTAAAAATAAAAATGTATTTTTTGTAAAGGTAAGCATTATTTCTTGCCTGAAAAATTATATTCTAATGAGATACGGAAATTTTTAGAGTGATTGTATGACTCTTTTATAAAGGTTTTACATAAACATAGTTTTCTTGAATAAAGTAATTTTTCAACAACTTCCTATAATTATTTACATTATTCAGACTATTGTCCTCATCTTTGTCGCCATATTTATTACAACATTTCAGCCGTTGTACGCTCTGGCCTTCTTTAGGTGGTTGGCATTTCAAACTGAACCCTTTATTTCACTCACTGGGGTAGACTGTTCTAGTTCCATGTGCCATGTTTAATGGATGTCAGTTATCAGTTATCTCCTGTTAATTTCCCTCTGAAAGTTCTCCACTGCCTTAGTTAGATCCAGTGACAGGACCCAAAGAGTGTGAATTCATTACCCGGCTAAGGCAGTGGAGAACTTTCAGTATTGTCCACAAATAATCTCCACAGCAATCAAAAAGGACAAACTGCAGAATTTTTTGGATGCCTAAGGTTATTAAAATATCTATCAACTACACATCTACATTATAACATATGAAAGTAGGTGGTGAGAAACTAGAGGCTAGAGAAAAAAAATATATATATAGTATTCCATACCTACTTGCCCTCTTAGAATCATATATATATATATATATATATATATATATATATATATATATATGAGAGAGATCTCATTTTTAAAGCTTCAAATATACAGGTTATATATTAGGTGTATACAAAAGTACCCAATTTATTTCTTTTTTTTTTTTTTGTACTGGGAACTTTTGTATGCGTCAAATATTTAAATGTTACACACAGAAAATATTTGTAAATACACAGAAAATTTACTCACCAAAATTTTTGTATGCGTTACTCCTGTTTATACGACTTGTTCATATTTTGAGTAGATTGTCACAGGAAGTGACTTTTCATTATATTCATGGGACCTACTAATATTGTCTATTAGTATTAATCTTTTGTTTTCCTTCAGTCTGCAACTATAAATAAAAATTTTATATTTTCTTACAGAAAGTTTAGGAGAAGAATTTGATGAGACTATTGACTTAAATAAAGAATTTCGCTCTCCTGATGGTCCCGCAGTTGGATGTCATGAATTTGCTGTAATGAAGGAAGACATTGACAAAGAGCGACTATGTACATTACAGGCAAAACCATCTGCAGAACAATTAGAAAAAGAAAGAGCCAGATTGTAAGTAAAATTATATGTACCAGGATAAGATATAGTCTTTATAAATTATTATTATTATTGTTGTTGTTATTATTTTTCTTTTTCTTCTTCTTTTTCTTTTTCTTCACTGAATCTTGATCATCCTCATCATGAACAGTTCAATGACCAGGCATGGTTGTAGGGTCATTGATCATCTGACCAATTCCTTCCACATACCTGAGTTGAAAGCTGGAGAGGTATTCTTTCATGTGCCTAGGCCAAATAGATCTAGTGAGGCCTATCTCTCATCAGGTAAGCCAACCTGGGTATGACGATAAATTACATCCAACAGCAAGGTCTCTGATCATGAGGTTTTGAGGAGCGTGGAACGACCTCTTAATTGCTGGAGTTCCCAGGTCCACTCTGATCTGGGGTGGCAGCACCTTTTAGGGTCTCAGCTATGGGCAAATAGTTGACACCCAAACTGTGGTCAAAACACTATGAAAGTGTAAAAATAGGTTTTAATACATACCAGAAATACTTTGTAAAAATTATTACCAGCAATACATTTTTAGAAAAAAAAAGATATTACCAACTATAGTTTATTTTGAAAGAAAATATTACCAGCAATAAAAAATTTGTCGACGTTAAATAACCCATTGAGGTTGATATGCCATAAAACAAATCAAACCAATCATCAGGTTAGAGCATAGCTGATGTCCTCCAGCTTGAAGGACACGGAGCTGTTGATTCCATCGAGGGAACCCTCCAACCTAGCTATTGATTTCAGTGTAGAAAGCCCTTCACCCAGCAATGCTAGGTCATCACCCCACTGGCTGCATACACAATTACACCACCCACTCTATCCTATTCTGCTAGATGATCATTGACCTGACAATAAGGTTCATCTGTCTTTTGACAGGTCTTGTTTTTAATCCTGTCACTTTTCTCAGCAGAAAAGCCATTTTTATTTCATACAAATGTTCTTAGTAATCCCAGAAAGCTTCATTAGATTAAGGGGCATGATAAACAAATGCTTTTTACTAAAATCAAAATGTTGACTATCCTCGGTAAGACAATAAACTACATCTGACAGCAGGGCCTTTGTTCAGGAGGTTTTGGTGGAGGCGCCATTAATTCCTGGGTCCACCCTGGCCCAGGGTGGTAGCATCTGTTGTGCTCCCAGCTGTGGATGAGTGGTTGGCCCCCAAACTGGGATCAGGGCACTGTGAAGGTGTAAAAATTTGTTTTAATACCAGCAATACATTTTTGTAAAAAATTATTAGCAGCAATACTTTTTTGAAAAAAAAAATATTACCAGCAATACATTTTTGGAGAAATACTAGCAGAAATACTTTTGGGAAAAAAATATTAGCAGCAATAAAAATCTTGTCGGCGTTAAATAACCCATTGACGTTGATATGCCGTCAAACAAAACAAACCAAAATTAAAATGTTGACTGTAAAACCAATGTCAAGAAAATGCTACAAAATGCACATCAAATAACCCTTACACAATTACTTGAAGAGATCAAGAGCATAATCTGTATTATATGATATTGCACTGACGAATGATGTAGTGATCAAAATTTGTTTTTCTTGTTTTCTATTAAGTTGAAAGATATAATGCAAGATGATTGATTCAGTTTCAGATCAGATCATCTTGAAAATGAAGTAAGAAAATGTGTCATTGTAATAAAAGTAGACGGATAAAAGAAAGCTGCAACTAAAACAAAAGCTTTTAAAAAGTTCTTTAAACACTATATTACCAAGTGAAAAAAAAAATTAGGTTTGGTCTTCTGATGAAAATCAGGTTGTTCACCATTTTGGGGACTGAGAATGCAAGCAAGTATTGATCTAAACAAATAAAATGAAGTATTTGTCTGCTATCGACTCGGAAACTACTATTTCAACCAAACTTGGCATGCAGATAATCTATGAAACAATTTATGTAAATCACGAAAAGTAAAAACAAAAAAAAAATATGATCAAAGCCATTTCTCATATATTTATTCACACGTAAAAATATAATAATGGACGTAAACCAACTTTTGGTAGTAAATTAATCCCTGGTTACCTCCCTTGCAGTTATGTGCCATGGGTGATACACGCTTAAGCAATCATGTATCTTTCAATACATAAATGACAAGGCAGATTTCTTCCCGACAGTAGTTTGCCATTTCTTTCTGTGGAAGACCAGTTGCCATCCAAGGCTATAAATCCTGGTCAATCCTGCTATTTATCCATAGCTGGGGGTGAATAAGAAGGAGAGGATTCATACCTTTCCCAAGGGTATTAGCACATAAGTGAATGTAATGGATTCGACTGGAATTTGAACTCTGGTTCGAATTGAGAAATCAGAGTTCGAATTCCAGTCGAATCCATTACTCTACAGTGACTCCTTACCTCCCTTTAGTGTTTTAATAATCTATATCGGGGGTGGTGAGACTTGCTTATTTAATACAAAAATTTTTGCTCCTTAATAGAAAATGATTTTGCCAAGCCAAATATTATTGCTCAGTGTTTATTATAGTACATCTAAAATGATCAATGACAACAGGAAAAGGTAACTCTTACAGAGACTAGCATAATTAATAGGTTGATGCAAATGTTAGACTGAAATCACTTTTGTAATGTTATATAATGGCAAAAACAATCTGAAAAACTCTACTTTTGACAATTTTTCATATCTCATTTCTTTGAATATATGCTCCTTTAGCGCTAGAGGGCGTCGTCAGTGATGTTCTAGAAAAGGATCATTGGACAGTTTCGGGTCTTTCAAACATCATACTGACCTCACCAAATCGACCCCTTCAGAGCTGATCAGACTCTGAAACGCCCTCTAAGAATAATGCTTGTTTGTGCTGACTTTTATAAGAATACCCCGTAATCTCACGTTTGATTGGAGATTGACCAACAGCTAATCACAACGGTGCGAGATCTATTTAAGCCGTTTACGGGTAATTTTTTACTTTTTCTTTTTTTTTTTTTGGTGGACACCCCTTCATCGGATACTTAGAAGGTAATTATGTTTTCCGTTTTTACCCACTTCCCCTCACGTTTCATTTCACCAGCAATAATTACTATGTACAGAGATAAGAAAATACAGCCATTGAAATTAATAAATAGAATACAGCGAATCAAGCCGAGAGTGCTTATAAATAAAACCGTTTTAAAACTTTACGAATAATAATATATGTATAAGAAATAAATAAATTACAGCGAGTTAAAACCGAGAGATCTTATAAATTACATAAAACATCTAAGACATGTTGACAAATAAAAAAAAAGAAAAAAAAGAATGAAATAGAAATAAACAATTAGAGCGAGTTAACCCAAGAGGGCTTGAAAAAAAAAAATATGTATATATCATAATGAAACGTTTAAAACATGTAAACGAAAAAAAAAAAAAAAAATAATAATCTCGTTTATGCGATTAAAATGAATAAATACAGCGAATTAAACCGAGGATGCTAATAAAAATCTTAATGACATGTTTAATGACATGTTGACGAGTAAAAACCCTAATCTATTAATTATAAAATTAAATATATGTTTTTTGAAATGAAACGAAACGAGAAGGGGGGTGGTAAAAAAAAAAACTATTGGTGAGAAATTCGTTATCAAACATGCTTTGTATAAAGTCAGATAGTAGGGGAGAAAGAAAAAAGGAAACCGAAAAATAAAGTCAATAGGAAGTCAAAACACAGGAGATTTCTAACCGGTAATAAAGGACGAAAAAGGGGGAACAAACTATCAAATTAGACCTCTTTGGACGTTACGATATTATGCAATTATTCCAGATGCTGGGGTAACGGGGGAGTAATGGTTATGCGAAAACACACATTTTCGCCATAGTGAAAATAAATAATAAAGGAGAAATAAGAGAAAAATAAGTACAATAAGAAATAGCATGAAACAAAAACGCTTTCCTTCCTCCTTTCCTTTGAAGGTTCGTATGTATTATTTACAGTGGCTTTTAACGAACCATTTTAAAAAAAATAAAAATAAAAATAAAATACAGTAAAAACGACTGTTTTCGATTATAAGTAATTACAACCAGTTACGGCATTTCTAGTTAGTTAAAAGTTGTGACATAACTTTACACTATTTACATCTAATATACAATGATGTATACAAAAAAAAAAAATTCACTTTTACATTAAATTTAAGATTTCTCCAGTTTGCTTGACCATACACTTGAACGTTTTAGCCATAGCCATTTAGCAGTTCTTTCTGCTGTCTCGGTGATGGTTTGGATGGCTTTTCGTTTTTTTGATCCCACTATCTATCCCGCTGATTATTGATCTTGCCACAAAACCCCTTGTGCCTACTTCGATTGGTTTGCAGCTTGCCTTCCATCCATTATTCCTACAACTTTCTAATAATTCATCGTATTTTAGTTTTTTCCTTTCATTGGCTTCTTCAGCATTATCCTCATAACAGACTGTTAGTTCCCACATAATGACCTTCTTTAGTTTATTGGAAAAAAGGACTAGGTCTGGGCGCAGTCGTGTTTTGAAATGTGCTCGGGGAAGTTTAGCCTTTTACCTAAATCGACTCTGAGTTCCCAGTCTGTTGCACATGATAAACAGTTAGGTGCGGTTATTTTCTTTAGGTTCGGTTTCGCTCCAGCTTTAATAAAATTTATAAAATTCATGTTTGAATTCGGTTTGTTTGTATGGATGGCTGTGCTAACGACCTCCATAATTTCTTTTTAAATTTGGTCATGGCGCCATCTATACCTACCATCTGCTAGGGCTGATTTGCAGTTGCTTAGTATGTGTTTTAAAGAACCTATTTGACCGCATAAGGGGCATGAGGGCGATTCTGATTTAGTCCATAATTGTAGGTTAACGGGGCTTGGTAGGAGGTCATAAACAGATCGGATCAAAAAGTTTATGCCCAATTCGTTACGCCATAAATCTGACCATCCAACTTTCCTAGGAATCATTGTCTCCCACTTTGTCCATGAACCTTGTTGTTTAAACCCAATCATCATTGCTACTCTCAATTCCTCTTTCGTCCAGTAAGAGTTGGTGCTTTTCCTTACCTACGGCTTTGTCAATTCGCGAAGACGCTCTTCTGCCACTTCCAACTCCTTTACGGCGTTCCATTTTCTCCCAGTGTAAACCTCAATATCTGCTCCTGCAACTTTTGGATCCTTGGAGAACTTGTATTGTATTAATGTTAGCACCTTGTAGCGACTTTATATTCTTCTCTAGGCTTTTAAAAGGGAAGTTGAAGAATGTTGGAATTTCCGTGAAGGGCGGCGCTACTTAGACACTTTGGTAGACCTAGCCATTTCCGTAACGTGAGTTGATGTTCTTTTCTATGTGTTCTACGGTAGAGGTAGTAAACTCATAGATGGACAAAGGCCACAATATTTTGGGCAGAATGACATGTTGGTAAATCCAAGCCTTGTATCGTCCGGGTAAGCCAGACTTGTCTACTTTATCCAGCCAGGCTTTTAGGTTATCCTTTGTTTCCTGGATTGCAACGGAGTCCTTAAGGGTATAGTCAAAGCGCTTACCCAAGTTCTTGATTGGGTTTTGCTTTATGGTCGGGATATACTCGCCAGACAATTTAAAGCTATCACTCTCTGAAGTTTTCCCTTTTTACACCACTAATGACCTCGATTTGACGGCGTTGAAACTCATTCTTGCCCATAAAATCAGTTTCTCCAAACCTTTTAATAACCACCTCGCGCCAATCACAGATGAGGATGTTATAGTCATATCGTCCATGTATGACCTTATTGGCGGTTGCTGTTGACCAGATCTTGTTAAAGGGACCTCTGCATTCTATTTCTGCCTTTTTATTAGCATATTCATGGCCAAGGAAAAAAGGGTAGCTGAGATAGTGCAGCCTGTTATGATACCTTTTCCAATGTATGCCATGCAGATGTTGTATTTCCTGTTGCTGTTCTCATTTTGAATTTGTTATAATAATCTACTATGGTCTCTATAATTTGGGGAGGAACATGGTAGCGGTTTAACGATTCTTCTACCAATTTGTGTGGGATAGATCCATAGGCATTCTTAAGATCCAGCCACAGAAAAGCCATATAAGCCCTTATGTGCTCTCTCGTCTTTTTAGCAGCTGCGTGATGACACCTGTATGTTCTATGCACCCTGGTATGCCTGGAACGCCCCCTTTTTGGACGGAGGTGTCGATATACTTGTTCTTTAAGAGGAAGTCTGTCAAGCGTCGATTCATGATGGTAAAAAATAGTTTTCCTTCGACATTCAAAAGGGAGATGTACCTAAATTGGTTTACTGTACTTGCTCCTTCCTCTTTAGGGATCCATATTCCTTCTGAGCACCTCCATTGTACAGCTATCTTCCCTCTTCTCCAAACAATTTTTAACAACCTCCATAGCATACGGAGCAACAATGGGCAACGTTTATAAACTAAGTAAGGTACTCCGTTAGGTCCAGGGGGCTGATCCCGATCTGGCTGTTTTTATATTGCCTGAACTTCTTTCAATGTAGGTTCTTTTAAGTCAAAAGGGTATGAAGGCAAATTAGGTGTGATTAGAGAGGGAGTTCTCTCCTAGCTGTATATGTTTATTTGGGTCACTCAGAGCCATTTTAAGGAAGTTGTTTATTTAAATCGGGGTAGATGTTAACTTTCCATTTCGTTTATCACCTAATAATTTCTTAGTGAAACCGTATGGATTAGAGACGAAGGCTAATCATTTGGCGCGCCCTTTCCTTCCTTCTGTTCCTTTGCCATTCTGCTCTCCGTGAATTTCATTTTGGAACGGATGATGTCACGGAGTTCTTGCAGCGTCCCTTTTCTTCGGTTTTGCTTTCTTATATTGCTTTCGGATAGCTCTTAATTCCGCTCTGCATTGTTTGATTTTACTTTCCTTCGATTTTCTGAAGTTTTCTCTTTCGTCTTCCTTTCCTCGAATCCAAACACTCTGAAGCGTAACTAACTATGATTTTCGACATAGTACTTAAACAGGTATCCACCGAGCCTTTTGAAATTATCTTTAGAATTTCGCTAATATCTAAATCAAAGTCGTGCCAAGCTTTTTTTTGTCTCTGTCGCAGGCCATTTGATCTTTTTTTCAAATGTCTCTGATGGTAATTCTGGAGATACTTGTGCCTCTGCTTGGAAGAACTGGACTCTGTGGTGAGCTTCCCAGCCCTGTATTTCCTGCGTCTCATCAGGAGAATTTCCTGTGCGCTGCAACTGGCTAGTTTCCAATTGGCATTTCATTTTGGCTTGATGGATTTTTAGGCCGCGTATATTCTTGCATTTTTTCCCGCATGGGCAAGTCATAATCATTGTCCGTGGGTGTGATGCTTGGTTTGTCTCCGGTTGATCCGTCCTAATAGGGATCTCATTCTCCCCCCCCTCTCGGGATTCCTTGGGGGCATTTATTCTTATTTGTGTCTGTAGCCAAATTTTGATCTGCATACTAGGTAGCTAGCCCAGGAATGCTTTAAATTGTGGTCTCTCCTCACCGTCAATTGACTTTCCAATTTGTCATCTAGTCTATTCCTAGTAGTCATCCGGCCTTTCCCGGACGTCACTGTCTTGACAGGAAAAACTGCTTTGAATATACGCTCCTTTAGCGCTAGAGGGCATCGTCAGTGATGTTCTAGAAAAGGATCATTGGACAGTTTCGGGTGTTTCAAACATCATACTGACCTCACCAAATCGACCCCTTCAGAGCTGATCAGACTCTGAAACACCCTCTAAAAAAAAATGCTTGTTTGTGCTGACTTTATAACATTTAAATAAGAACAAGTGATAAGTTCTAAAAGCTTGGTCATATATTAATCACATGGGATTTGTAGATCATAGCATTTTCAATATATTCCCCTCTGAGTTGAATTAGTTTTAATTTTTATTAAAATGACATTTTCTAACTCAAAATTGTGATCATGAAAGTTTCTGTTGCCTTGAGTATACTGACTGCTGTTTAATTCAAGGTGTTTTTTATGTTTTGTACATTAAATCAATATGTATGAAAAGCAGCAGCACATATGCTAATTTGTAGCATGTAAGATCAACAATGCAGTTTAAAAATAATTCAGGAAAGTTTTAGACAGGCATATATATAATATTTTGATTTTATTACAGTAAAAAAATGTCTTTTTAATGCTCTGCAATTTTGTGCAACTAAAGATATAACATGAAATAAGTTATTTTTTTCTTATTGTTTTACTGCTTAAATCATTGCAGAAAGTGGTCACGTGACTAAGTGGTTATAATGTTAGCATTCTGACCCCTGAGACTTACATTTGAATGTCATCAGGGTTGATTTGCCAGGGAAGCGACTTCTTGACAATATTGGCCTGGAGAATTGATCCAAGCATGCAGCAACACTGAGGAGTACTTGGAAACCATGCCATCTAGCTTATCCAAGACGTGTAAGTGAAATTGGGGAGGAAAAACTGTTCAGAATCTGTTGAGGCTTGTGCTAGCACAAAGTCACAAGTTATTGTGACTGATGACCTTAGTGCATTGACCTTGTTCAGCTACCGATTGTTCCAGAAACTTAGGTCCACCAAACATAGTTGCAGTATAAACCACAGGTTGGTTCTGTGAGTGTTAAAGAAACAGAAATATACCTGAGCAGCCATCTGCAATAATGATCAGCTAACCACTCTAGCAGATGGGAATACTTGAAAATAATCAGCTTTTTAAAATTTTTGTAGTGTTAAAATCAGTTAAATGTTATCACAAGCATGTGTTATGATTTAATTTTATTCATATTTTTCATTTAAGAAAAAATGATATAATCTGATGCTTGTTGGCTAATAAGAAAAACTAATTAGAAACTGAAGAAATGGTTACTGATATTCACAAGGAAAAGTCTTAAAAACTTGTGCTAATATTGTACATGTTTTTACTTATTGTTTGTAAAATCATTTTATGCTTTATACATCAACTTGAAAATTTAGCAAATCTCTTGTTTTTTTATTTTGTTTTTAACTTTCTATTTTTAGATACGAGAAATTTTTGTTGCGTGCAAAACAAGAAGATCTGACCGATATTGCCCAACTTCAATGCATATACCAGTCGGGGGTGGATCGGTTTGGTCGTCCTGTTGTTGTGTTCATTGGTAGAAATCTTCCTGCCAACTGCATAGATATGGAACGGGTGAGTAAATGTTTCTGGTTAGGAATTGGTAAGAAAGACTTTTATCAATGATTGATATGTTGAATCAGTTCCTTGACTCAACACAAGATTTTATAGACAGGCTCATCAGAAATGACTGAAATCTTTAATAGTTACCTTGCTTATTCTCTGAACTATATTTATGTATAGTCTTGTACTCTAGTGGGTGGGGGCTAACTAGGGTCAATGGATAAGATTTGCTTGTTGACAGAAATTAAAATAATGAATTTTTTTATTCTCAATCTAATAAATCAAATGTTAATAATTTTTAAACTCTTTTTTTTTATTTTTTATCTGACATGTGGATAAGCAAATGACTAAATGGAAAAAGACTTTAGTGATGCATTTTGAGAACGTCTTCAGACTAATGATTATGAATAAGGTTCTTTCTCAGAACAAAATGCATCACTAAAGTCTTTTTCCATTTAGTCATTGACTTACCCATCAGTTCAGGTTTACGGAAAAGCTACCAACAAGAATGACCTGTTCAGTTTTTGTTCCCACCACTGTAACATGATGAAATCTCATATAATTTAATGATTCTGTTTAAGATCTGCAGCCCCCAATACTTACTCAAAGAAGAAATATACACTTTTAAAAACATTCAATATCCTCATTATTTCATCCACAATGCTAAGAGAAATGCATACAAAATATACAATTGCAAAAAGATAACATTTTAACAACAATCACAATAAACTAGATAAAAACAGAAATATATTATTACCTACTGACTCCCTAACATCTATTATCCACCCCCCAAATTTATCAAATCTAAACATCAAAATATTCGCAACCACATCCCAAACTATTATGGATATGATTAGAACCCAAAATATCCATAATAATAAAATTCTGAAGTTGGTATATATAAAATAAATGGCCAAAACTGCTCCTCATAACACATTGAGGAAACTTGCAGAAATTAAAAAAAATATGATTACAAAAGGGATCTTATACACAACAATTTATCAAATACATTAGTTATACATAGAAATAAATTCAACCACAACTTTGATCTAAAGCATGCCACGTTTATTAAAAAAGAAAAGCAACTTACTTAGAAGGAAAATTCTTGAGAGTGCCATTATCGAATCTTATCAAAATATAAATCTGCACCCCAGATTTTTTTCCAATATCTCCATTCCTTAAAGAATTACTATCCCAAGCCAACATACATGACTACAAAAATGTCAAAAAATTAAAAGAAAACAATTAAATTTATAACCTCCTGTTATTTAAAATATAAAACGCATAAATTAGTCCCTAACTAAATTAATTTAAATACTAATTTGCATTATTAAGAAAGAAAAAAAAAAGTTCAAGATCATTATTTACTGACTTTCATTCATTAAACATTAAATTGTGTCACTTGGCATCCTCCATAGCTTGCCTGACTTTTCAGCTGATCTGGTGAATAATTATGAGCATTCTTTAAAATCCTTGAAAAACAAATAAGATTTTTGCTCGTTTATATAAATAGTTGTTAGAAAATAAATTCCTTGCATTTGCCTTGATAAAGTCCCCCAGAGGACTTAACATGCTGGCTAAGATACGTTTTTCTTACGTCCTTATTAACATTGTCATTTTACAGATAAACTCTATCTGAAATATAGATCTGAGTGTGTGCGATGGATAAATTGTCGTCTAAATTAACCCCCCCAAAAAAAAAAATGAAAATAACACTGACATCTCATTTTAGCAGATATATTTACCAAAATTATGCAAAAATGTCTTGAAATACTAAAGAGTAAATTTATTTAATAAAATCCCCATTGGCTTCAACCACAGCCTCCAGATGACTTTGGAATCTCTTGCAACTCTTCTGGACAGTCTCTTTGTTTAAGTTGGTAAATGCTGCCATGATCCTTGCCTTCAGTTTATCTTTGGTGTTACAAGGAATTTTGTTGGTCTCTTGCTCAACTGTGCCCCACACATAATAATTAAGGGGGTTACAGTCTGGGGAGTTAAGGGGCCAGTGTAAGGAGTGATATGGTTGCAGAAATTGTCTTACAAGCCATGACTGGGTTCTCCTGCTTGTGTGGCATGGTGCAGAGTCCTGTTGCCTGATATAAGGTCTTCCAGCAGCCACCCTCTTGATCCAGGGCAGTACTACCTCCTCAAGGCACTTGATGTAGGCTTCCATGTTGAGCCTGAGGCTCTGTAGGAAGATGAATGGATGCATAATGTCACTATCTCTAGGGATCACTCCAAACACTTTCATAATCACCATTAGGCTCCTCCAACTCTTTCCAATTCCTCTGCACTGTCCTCAGATTGATACCCAATCACTCTAAAATGTTTGTATTGGAACTTCTGGCATGAATGCTAAGCAGTACAGCATGCTGTTTCCAAATTTCTGGTGTAGGGAATTGCATCATGATGCTCTTTTTCTCACAGACGATACCCAACTGACACTACTATACTTTGAAGTCAACAAAATCAAAAACGGACAGCGCGCATGTGTGAAATTAAAAAATATAAAATGGCGACAATTTACCCATCGCACTCTTTATATATTTTAATATTATTTTGATTTGTGTAATCATAATTCTTTGTTGTGATGCTAAAAGTGCATTTAAGTGCATTTATTTGTGAAACAAGAAAAAAACCTTAAAGATAAAAATTTAGAATAAAAATGCACAAGATAATTTTTTTTTTTTTTTTTTTTTAAATTTGGGACCAAAGTTTTATTCTTATAGAAATCAGTTTATTCATTTCAGTAATGGGAAAAGCAGGCAAAATGGGTACATGTCAATTTACACAGCCTTAGAACCACACCAACATATTAAAATCATATTTATTTTTAGGATCATCAGAGGATTACTGTCAAAGAAGTATTCAGATGTTAATCTTTATCCCCAAACTAATCAACAGAATATAAAATACATATACTTTATTGGGTGAGAAGTACAGTGCCTGTGTGTGTGTACGCATGCCTGCCTCTTTATTTAAAATTCATTTTTTCATTCTTGTAATTGCAACTGTTTACTGTCTATATGATGAAACTCTTTCTTGGCATTTTCTCCCCCACCCTTCATCTGTTGGAAGAAGTATTAGTTTTTGACTTGCATCTCTTTCATCTTATTTTATTTCTTTTCATCAAAACTCCTTTGTACATTTTTTTTTTCTACAGGTTTATTTAGCTAATTTGAATGCTGTCACCTGGATAACTTTCTGTAGAGCAATTGGTCATAGTTAAGTGTAACTGACAAAATTCTCAATAAAAAGGAAAAAGAACAAGGGGAAAAATATTATTAAGCAAACAATATAAATTAAAGTCAAAAATAGGCCTGGACGCAACAATAAAGGCAAAAATCTTCACAAAGTAAGAATTGTGTTCCCACACAAGGGATACAGTCAAGTGGTTATAGCGTTTTAACTTCAAGACAAGAACAACAATATGATGGATGAGATTGAGAATTGTTCATTTTTATTGATTAGGAAGAAATTCCAACATGCATCTGTAAAATTTGGGGAGGGAATGCTCTTAGCAGTCATTCCTATAGACTGGAACCAATGCTTTCTTAGAATAATTCATAAGGGCCTTTCATAGTATACAGCTGTTCAACTCCAGAATGTGTTAATCTTTTTGCCACTTGACCTGGAGCATTGCAATAAAAGAAAAAAGATGAAAGAAATAAAAAAATTAATACTAATGACAATGCTTCAGTAATTCAGAAATTAAGACTATTGTCTTACTCCCAGGTGTAAACCAGCATCAAATATGACATAGTAATTAAAAATTAATAATGACAATGCTTCTTCTAGGAAATTTAGACAATTTAAGATGGTTGGTTCGTAGATTTTAAAATGTGTCAATTTAATTAATTTAATTTTGAATATTGTATGATTATACCTCGTGAGGATGAAACTCATTTTTAATGGTCAACCAGACTAACCTTGCTAACCATTACCCCCAAACAAATGATGCTTTCAATTGAAGACTATGACCTGATGTAACTAAGCAGCAAGAATAAGACAAAAGGAAAACAAGTCAAGAATGAATCATAATGACAATTTTTCATCAAAGAAATCTGAAGTCTTTTCCATTTCTTGAGTAGATTTTCCATTTCTTTGAGTAGATTATTATAAGGCAGCTTTTTTTTCTTTTTTTGTTTATTCATTTGTATGTGTGTAAATGTATTGAGAGGCACAGTGATTAATAGATAATCAGATTAGATTGAGGAATCTGAGAGCTGAATTCATGACATTCACTTACTTAGGAAAGGCATGAATCCATTTCTACCACCTACCCCCACCCACCCAAGTCATGGGTAAATAGCAAGACAGACTGGTTCAATAGCCTTGGATGGCAACTAGTCTAAGAGAAGGAAAAAAATCTGAATTCAAAATCAGTCTGAAGAAGGTTGTACTCACTCAGGATCTTTCCCAGGAAACTCCACGTGTTCTGCAGCTGTAGATGTAAATGTGGGGTGCCCCTACCGCCCTAATGGGATCTTATGATGATGTGTGTGTGTGAAATGAATTAGGAGCCGTATTAGCAAACCAAATGTAGTAGATTTAATTTTAATTTCCTCTTTTTTTTTTTTTTTTCATCTTTTTCCCTGTAGATGCTGTTATACATTGTCCAAATGATGGATCCAATTGCTGATAATCATTATACAGTAGTCTACCTTCATTCACTAACCACAGCAGACAATCTACCTGCAACATCTTTTGTTAAATATGCCTATAATCTACTTCATGATAAGTAAGTGGCCAGTCAGCATCTTGACATTCTTGATGTTTTTTAGCTATTACCTCTGGTAATAAATAGTACACTTTTTTTTCTCTTTTATTTTCAATTTCACAGAATTTCTTGCAGGGACAAGCATTACCACCACATTATTCTACACACACACACACACACACACACACACACACAGGTTTTCTATATTCTGCCTAACCTGATACAAATTTATTTTAAAATGTTTTCCTAATTTTCAGATATATTAGGTAGTTTTGTAGCAGGTGAGCCAGATTCAACAAGCGTAGTTAATTGCTAAAATCAACACTAGAAGATTTGACAAACCAGGCAATAAATGTTGGTATAGAAATTACAAGTGGTAGACATTTTTTTCACATGATATTCAAAGAACTGTTAACATTTTATTTCCTCAAAACATTTTATGAAAGAACTTTTTCGCAATCATGGTCTTTAGCTTGCATTCATTTCCTCTACAGACATTTGAAGTTTACAATATTCAAAATGTTTTGTAACTTTGCTTTTGTTATTTGTCCAACTTGAATTGTTTTAATTTTCATCTCTACCTCTTCCAATTTCTATACCAATTCTTGTTACCTGATTTGTCTATCCTTCTGTGTCCACTTTAGCAATCAACTACATCAGCTCTGATTCATCTGCTACAAAGCTACCTGGGCATCTTATATACCGCCACACATGGATTTATAATTGTATTTTGCCATTGTAAAAAAATGTTAACTTTAAAGAAAAAATTCTTTACTAATACATTAATTATTATTATTTCCCCAAATCTATTTAGTGCATTTCCCTATTTTTAAAAATCTTTTCTTTTCTTGCAACATCTAAATCGTTTGTGTTTAAGCAGCAACATATTGCCAAGATGAACAAATCAAGTGAATATAGTGCTTCACCTACAATTGCATCCTCAAAAGCTGGATTTGTTCCCTTAAAAAGAAATGACTGAATCCAGTGTCTAAAACTATTACTAAAGTCATGATAGAAAATTTCTTGATGGTTTTTATGCAGAAGAGAATGGGTTCTTTTGCAAATTCTGTTTGCATTGTGTTGACATTTTTAAGATTGACACAATCAAAAAACCCATTTGTCAAAAAAAAAAAAAAGAAAAAAGTCTTCCATACTAAAATGGAAGGCATTTACAACTTTGGTGAGGTCTAAACAGAGTGGAGATGATTTGGTCCTTATTAATGTGCACTTCATCTGATATACTCCTACCCAAATTGAGGCCATTTATATTCCAAGTAGGAAATTTGTTAGGCAACTGCCTAAATTCTACTTCCCTAAAAGCCAATCTTACCAATGAATCTGTCAGTATCAAAAACAACCAACAGCTACGAGCACAGCATTTTGAATGTGATCACAAGCATTTGTAAAGCATCATTTCTTATTGATGCTGTAATCAGGACAGAATGCAATCATCAAACTGTAAGTGAAGTATACATCTGGACCATAATTCATGTTGACACATTGCATTTTGAGGCTATCATTGCATTTATATCAGTTTCAGCAGCTTATTGTCAAAAGGAAGTGTTGTCAAATATGTTGTGCTTAGCACATATTTTAAATCTTCTTGATATTGCTGCCATATATGGTCTGGTGCCCCTTCTGTTTGTCTCAAGGTTCTCGATAAAATCCAGAGACTGATATGCAATGTAATTGGTCCTGATCTCGCATCTCGTCTGCAGTCGCTCTTTCACAGATGTGCTGTTGCCTCCCTCTGTCTTTTTTACAAATACTTTCATGGTAACTGCTCCGATGAGCTGCTTTCACTGGTTCCCAGACTTCATGAATTTAAGCATTCTACTTGGCTGGCATCTCGCTCTCACCCTTTCACTGTCGAAACTGTTAAATGTAGCCTGCTCTTCTCGCTTGTGGAACCCCCCCTTTTCCTGTTTCCCTGATAGCTATAACCTCCAACTATTCAAATGTAATGTCAATCGATATCTCCAGATGCCTTGATCTATCCCCTATCCTTCTCTTCATCCTTTCCTCTATCACTCCTATTTGCTCTAGTGTCAACTCTCTGTAACCCCTTGCGTGCTAGTGGCTTCCCACCTTGCTTGGAATGAAACGCTTAAAAAAAAAAAAAAAAAATGTAGCCACTAATTGGTCAGCATTTGATAATATAACCAAACTTACTACTTTTATCAAGTCAGTCTTATTTAAAATGGCTAGTTGAAAACAGTGATAGCTGGAGCTGCCACATGGCAACCATATGGAATTTGTCATTTAATGCACTCAAATATCACTCCTCGTATGTGCAATTTTATGAAGAATTTTTTAAACACCAAAAAACCCCTGCCTTGGTAGTAGACAGGATTCTGGAGTTATTAGATGCTGTTCGGCTACACTATGCATTCTATCATCGTTTGTGCCTCAGTCTGAATTTTATTAATGAGAACTGTACTCATTTAATGACAGATTTAATGAGATAAGAAGAGATTAACTTATCACTTGGATGTATTGTGTCTGTTTTTCAAAGGAAATTTAGGCAAATATATCACTTGACATACTGGCTAATATCTGCATTTGTCAAAATCTTACATTTCCTTAATTTTACAAAAATTTAACTTTCTCTTCTCTATTTTGATCTTAGCCCCAAATAACAAGCAGTAAATTACTTCTGGTTAGTTGAATGTACTCATAAAATCAAAGTGGCCCAATTTTACTCTCCAGCTTTTAATAAATTACTTCTATTTTGAGTAAGCATAGCTTGGAGATTTTACATATAGTTAAAAAGAAAATTATTTGTTTAACTCCATGTTGTGGGGTGGTGGGTATCCCCAAACAGCACCTCCTCACTTTTTAATAAAAAGTGGGGGAGCTAGAGTCAATCTTTGTTGCCTGAAATGTCTCAGTAGAAAAGTGCTGACAGAACTTTCTTTTGTTCCATGTATGTGTGCCAAATTCCATTTGTATTGCTATGCAAGATTAAAAAAAGAAAAAAACTCATAAAATCCACATTAGTTACAATAATGATTTAATCCCGACAACCCCCCTCCCCCCAGTAATATTTGCATGTCTACAGGAATTGCTGTTTGATCAAATCTGTACATTGAATGTCTGTTGCTTGATTAATCTTAGGCTGGAAAAATGATTAGGGTAAAATTTTGGATGAAAAATAAGGGAAGAACTTTTTTGGTATATAATCTTGATTTAAACTACTCATTACATTTTACACTTAAATAAAAAACAATTGAAACATCTGCTGTTTGGGAATTAAACAAACATAGCTGTAATCCTTATAAAACCTGTTAATTTTATAGTGACTTTTTTTTTTTATTATTATTATAGGTACAAGAAAAACTTATCATCTTTTTATATTGTTCACCCTAACATTTGGTTTAAGGTAAGCTGCTTTTATTTATTTTTTGCTTGCTTCCATTTTGTGTGACTGAATTCATTTTTGTCTTTACAATTTTGTGTTCATCCTTTTCAGATTTCAACATGGTTCTTCACAACATTCACAGCCTCGGAAATTAAAAGTAGAGTCCAACATTTACAAGGTACAGAATACCTATATGCTTACATCAACACTGATCAGTTTGATGTACCACAATGGGTGTTTGAGTATGACTTAAAGGTAAGAAGAAGAAAAATGTTTCAAATTTTTTTTTTTTTTTAATTTGATTTTTAGCTATTATGTCAAGAAATTCAATTAGATACACATTCTCTTATGGGTTTTGTGGGCTGTTTTCTTCATGAGAATAAACTCTTGGCAAAATATTTTATTTAAAAGATGTCCTATCTTTTTAAATTTTTGAATGAGGAATTATTATACACTGATTTACACATGCAAGAGTCCTTGTCTCAGCTGTTTTAGGCACCAACTTTCTTCAGGTATCTGTCATCATTGGTAATCTTTGAGGAATTAAATCCATGGGGGCAAATTGTTCCATTGGAAGAGACAAGTGGCATTACAACTAAGAAGACTCAATTGATGCATATACTCTATCAGGAACAGCAAAATAAGGACAATGTACCCTCCCACTGGACTGAATAAATTCTGTCCATAATGTTTACATTAATTTTTATCTGAATTTTTGCGATGAGAAGTTATCATTTATGCTATTTATTGTTTTTATCACAACAACTAAAATGTAATAAAAACAACAAAGATAAGGATAATAGTCCGAATATAAATAATGTAAATTATGCTTACATTCATTTTTGACCCTTCTATTCAATTTTCAACACAAAACATTGCTGCCAAAAATTACTAAAATAAATTTTAGGTCAAAAATGGCAAAATCTAGTACTTAATCATAAAAATGACTTTTCCCCCAGAAAATAGAGTATCTGTAAAGTCAGTGGGAAGCAAGAGAAACTTGGCATCATATGCTTAGTCTTTGTTCAAGTGCAGGTCATGTTGAAATTCAGCCAGGATTATTTAAATTTGTTTTGCTTATTTTTGAGACAGTTTTCTTTTTTTTGGGCACAAAGGTTAAACATTGCTAATTGTTCTTTTATATGTATTTTCTTATCTGGTTCAGAGTAAAACAACCAATTGTGTACCCTTTATAAATATATACAGCAATTTTAATTTCTTGTTAAAATTTTATCAAAATTCGCCTTCACTTTGTTATTAAAAGTAGTTTGATTACACTAGTCAGCACAATTTTTGGTGTCAAGAAACAAAACACATTTTTTTAGCTAATTTGATGGTGCTGATTCCGAAAATGACCTTAGTTTCTCATGGTTAGCCACCATTTTTGCTGTACTGAAATTGCTCATTTTTGGAAAAAAGATCAATCTAGGATCTTTGCTGATTGTAAAATTTACTTAATAAAGGTCATAGAAATCCATCAATTTTCAGGTAGGCCAAGCAATTTATGTCAGCCACTAGAAATAAGCTATTTTTATAAGAAAAAAGTGTTTTTGAGTCAAAAATTTTAAAATAGATGTAATAGAAGTTTTCCAATTTATTGCCAACATTCTAATTAACTGATGAATTTTATCAGTAATGCACCTTAGTAAACCTGATAATTAAGGTGACATCAAAAAAATGAAACTCTAAAATTTTCTGTTTGATATTCATAAATTTATTCCATCACTTTTATCCCTTCACTACGGAAGGAAACCAAGCATATTGAGAGCATTTTGTTTTCACAATTGGAAAGAAACTCCAACTAAAGACATCTCAATTGAATGCACCTATTTCATTGTACATGATACTGATGGAATATCAAAAGTGACTTAAATAACATTGAGCATGACAGATAATCAAGAAAGAGAAAATATTTACCATAATTCTGATGTTCACGAAGGTTTTATTTCTGCTGTTAGTTTATTAAATGATTTGATAAAAATACTTGTTGGTCTTGGTATATTCAATGGTATTATTTTTATTTAGGATCTGATTGTTATTGCAAAAATAGTATTTCTCAATAAGCAGACAAATATTTGTTGGTTTAAATATGATTGAGCAGTTTCTGCGATTTTATTTTGAGAAATATTGCCATCGGTCAATATCATATATACAGAAAATAAATGAAAAAAAATGCTTTTTTTTTTTTTAACAAAAATGATGTGTTTCTGTACAGCAAAAATGGTAGCTAATCAAGGAAAAATAAGGTCATTTTCAGATTGAGTACCCTTAAATTAGCTAAAAAAGATGTTTGGTGTCTTGACACCATTTCAAAATTTTTCATTTTTTTTTTTTTTGTTGATCAGTGTTATTTGATAGAAAAGCAACACAGCTTCTTTGAAACAAGGAATCATTTGCATTATTGGTAACCCAACAGCAAAACCAGTTACATAAACGTTATATTGATGTTAATCACACTGTGAATAAATAAATTTAGAAAATATTTCCAGAAGTCTTTTTCTTTTAATACTTAATTCTTTTTTAAGATTTTTGTTGGCAAAACCTGTGTGGATTGCATCTCATTTTATTAAACTGCCAAAAAGCTACCATGTAAAGAGAAATGTTGATCACTTTTCAGATTACCTCCCTTCTTTTATTTTTTAATCTCATTTTTCTTTTTAATGTTGGATCGTAAAGCAGATTTATCTGCCGTTAGTATAAACGCTGTCCAGAAATTATATGAACACTGTGAAAATGATTCTTTATGTCTTGGTGGTTTTATCGCCTTGCTTGGGGTAAAATGATTAAAAATAAAAAAAAATTTTTAAAGTACCCTGATCTGTAGAATGTGGTCTGGATGTGCCAAAGGACACTTCAATCTTGACAGGCCTGACTAGTATAGAATGAGTATAAAATAGTAAATAGAGATTATTGAAGCAATTTTAAATTTAAGTAAAGACACAATTTAAATTTAAACTTGCTTCAATTCTCTCTATTTATTTATTTATTTTTTATCTCCAAATGGACTTGACCTCAATATATTTCCTTTATTTGGACACCAGTATTTTTGATTTAAATTTGAGCTATGAATCTGTGTACCTTCCATAAGTCTCTGCATATTTTTTTTTTTTTTAAATAATAAGTTATACCTTGTGCCTGAAGAGTTGGGTAACCAACAAAACTTAAGTGGCACCACAAACATAATATATATTTATATATATATATATATATATATATATATATATATATATATATATAGATAGATATAGATATATATTATGGAATGGAAAATTCAACAATTATTTTAAGACATTTTTATGTTTATACATTCTTTTTATAGATAAAATATTTAAGTAAATACTCTGTTTATAATAAACAGTATTAAACAATATTTACCGGCCTGAAAATTTCTTGGACATTCAGGCCGGTAAATGTTGTTTAATACTGTTTATTATAAACAGAGCATTTGCTTAAATATTAGTATCTATAAAAAGAATGTATAAACATAAAAATATCTTTAAAAAAAATATATATATGCACAACTAGCATATAATACATGTCAAAAATTACAGAATTATTTTCATATGGATCAGCACTTCTGCCTGAGATCAGTGTAATATCTGTGCATTGTACTTAGCACTTGAAAGTTCATTTTTACCATGTCAGGGACATATCACTTGTCCCCTTACCTGTAGCAAACAGGATTCATTTTATAAAGTTTTGCTTTTATTATGACACATTTCACACAGATAAATGAAGAAAGAGATAAAAGGTCTTTCTATTCATTTGATATACATATATAATAAATATACATTGTTCCTCACCATAGAAACAAAATTAATATTTATTATTAGTATAAATTTCACCTGTTATTTTACATTGAGCACCATTTTATTACCACTATCACTCATTGTGCCCTATTTTGTGCATGCACATATATATATATATATATATATATATATATATATATATATATATATATAAAAATTATTTTTAAAAAAAATGCTATTTAAATCAGACAAAGGCTTCTAGAGCAACTGAAAATTTTGTAATTTCCAAAAAATGCCTGCATTATTTAAATAAGAGTTCAAATAAAAATATTTGAAATTGATGATTTTTGTTTTTCCATTTTCACTGAAGCACATGAGGGCTTTATTGCCTCCCCCAATCTTCTCTTCCTTTATTTCTCACAAACAGCATCTCTGATATGTCTTTTCTGTCTTTCTTTGTGATCAAAACAGAATAGTCCATTATTTATAAGGTATTGACAGGGTGTAATGTCCATATTAACTAACCAACGAGGAGAATCATGATTATTTCAAAATTTCATTCATATATAAATTTCACACTGACAAATGTTACAGTTTCAATGGTATAAATTGAACATTGAGAATTTCATCTCTACAAAGAGACATCACCCTTAAGGTAGAATTTTATAGGAAGATGATGTAAGAAAGGAAATATAGAAACAGTTCATTTTTATTCATTTCCATAGAGTTCCATTTGAACTATTGTTGAAATTTAACTTTTCGAAATTGCAATGATCAACTCCAGTTATAAAAGCAGTTAATCAACTAACATATTATAATTCTATAGAAAGACGTGATCTCTTTTATGAGATCAAGAAAGTTGAATCCAGAATGTCTGCAAAGAAAGTAATTCACTTCAAATTAGGAATGTGAAGAATTTCAGCTTGAGAAGCAAATGTTAGCAAAAACTTTTTCTTTTTTTATTACTAATTTACTTAACCTGACAATTCCATATTTCATTTTTTTTGGTTGTCTACTTATTTTCTTTATTGCAGGTAAATGGTCCACGATATTATGCACCTCCCGAAGACACTGTTGATGAGTTGTGA